TTCACTTAAAATGTTATTAAAATAGATTCTTTTCCTTCCTTCTTAATTTGATCGATATACAAGATGAATTGAGAAAAAAAACTTGCCAAACATTCTCTCATTTTACTAGTTTAATGATTTTGAAAACAAAAAAAAATGGTAATCCACTTGAAGTAGGCGTTCATTCATCTTTAGTGATGAGTTTAATTAGGTAAGCTGTGATCAGCTTATATCAACAACAACAACAACCATATTGAACCTATGAATCAGGTGTAGAAAAGTTGAATATTGTTTCTGTTTATTATCATCGATTCTGACATGAACAAACCATTGTTACGGCAGACCATGTGTAGATTGAATAAATGTTTGGTCCGGTTGATCGAAAATAAAATTGTAATCTGGTTTCATTTATTCAATAAATATTCCACCATGAACACATTGCATATTCACATACATACCACTAACAAACAAACGAGAGAAAAAAGAACATAATCATCATATCAATAATTAAAAGATTAATTCATTCGCTTGTCAGTAACGTCCGGTATTTTTTCCAAACAACAATTGGTGTGAATCAGTGAATTTTATTTCGGTTATAAAAACACTAACAAAACATTTACACACACACACACAATACCATTTCGACAAAATTTATTTTAGCCGGGGCCCACACACATTCACAAGGTTTGACTTTCGGACATGGCCAAACATTTTGTTGTTTTCATTGGAAAATCCCAATAGAATTTACTGTCATTAATTTAGTTGCCATTCACATTGACAGAATCATATACTACATCATCGTCTGTTTGTGTGTGTGGTTCGTATTCGTATTGATCATTAAGCTCGTGTAATGTTGATGCCCGTAGCAATTGTTTACAATTGAAATCTAAACATAACCAGACTTTCACATATTCGAATGATGATCATGATCATCTATATATATTATATATGCATGTGTTATGAGAATCCGGGGAATTCTACCATTTTTATTTTTCTTGCCTAATCAATGTGTGTTGTACTCTATCCAAATGAAATGATGAATTTCAGCCGACTTCTCAACAAGAAAAAAAATAGGCAGAGTGGTGAAATTCATAGCATCAAATATATAAAAGCGACAAGAGACTAACAAATTGGGTATTTGTTGAAGATACTGTCAAATAAAACGAGCCATTCTCATCATCATCATCATCATCATTTTGATGATGACGATTGATAGCAAATGAACAAGTTCATATAAATAGAATATAAACTGATGGCAATGGAGCAATCAAAACAGAATCTCAGTAAAAAAAAAAAAAAAAAAGAAATTCCTTCGCCTCCTCCCACACACACACACACACACATGTGTTCATCACAAGCCGCCTCTCTTATTAAAAGCTCACGTTCTACACTTAAACTACTAAACAACGCCACACGAATTCTGATCGGCACTTATGAGTATATGTAAATCTTTTTTTTTTTTTTTTTTTTGATTCATTCATTTATTCATGCATCAGTTACATGAAAATTATATTAATCTTGATCTTGTTATATCATCATGAAATGTTTTTCAACTATGGGTTAATATTTTTCTAAATAATCCTGTTCCGTTAGTCAATTTCCGATCGAATATCATCGACAACTACTTGATGGTAATGGTTTTGGTTGATGATGATGCTCTCATCACTCAAAACTCCAATGCATCCATGTGTGTGTGTGTGTTTTTTTTTAACTGTGTGGTTTGTCGTAATCATCGATGCGAGCTACCAGATTATTTCCATTACATTTAAAGCCGACATCTGTGACCATCTCGTCATTCAAAAGAAAAAAAAATCGTTGCGGTTTTTTTTATTGAAACCGTAACCATCGTCTATGACAAACAAATAGTGTGTCAATATTCTGTAGCTGAATTGAGTTTAGTCTTTTTTTTTAGTTTAGTTGACGAATAAATCGAATTAAAAGTTACAAGTGTCGCCAATCATCATCATACAATATTGAAAGCAGTCATCCAAAAACCTGCGTATGCGTGTGACACTTGTTCTGTATATAGTACAGAATTCAATCGTCAATAATAATGGGCAAATAATTAAGTTTGGCGACAGCTAAAAAAAGTTATCCATACTCACATATTACACAAAATCATAGAATATTCTACGTTATAATATTTCATGTTTTGATGGTGTGTGTGTGTGTGTGTGTGTGTGTTCCAGCTGCGCACATTGTTGTAATAAGCTTGCTGATCGATTTGTTTTTTGAAACACACAAACACCTACACTATTTTGATAGATATTGAGAAATATTGTTGACCATTGTCATTTACATTTTATTTTGTTGTGATTTTTCATTTTATTTAAATATCGATGGTATTCATTTCATGTTGTTTGTTAATTAAATACTTTTTTTTTCGTTAGCTTGTCATATCATCCGGTTATTTGCCCATAAACTATAACCATGAATGAATGTCAACATTTTGTGTGTATGTGTAGTTTTTTTTTAATTAAATCACACAAATTCGGGCCCTTTGTCACTATGTGTATGTGTCAATCTGTCTGTTTTGTCTGTCTATTTTGTCTGTTTGTTTGTTTGTTTGTTTCACCAGGAAATTACATTTTCTATTAGAATTGAATTAAAGAAAAACAGAAAAGAACCTGGTCTATGGGCGGTCGTTTGGTCGATTGTCATCATCATGATCATGATTGTGAATCAGTAATAGTATGAGCCTTGAGGCAATTGTAATTCATTGGACCGAATGTATTTGGAAAACAGATTGACGCCGATAAAATTTATTTCTAAATAGGAAAAGTTCAGGGCATGGCATAGTAAAAAGCATGGATGGCTTGATCCGAATTCATTGTTTGTATCTCGATGCTATGCATGTTTGCTCATCCACAAAAACAGACATCGATTGTCAATTGGTCGATGGCCAAATTCAACGATTGACAATTCGGTTTTTTTTGTTGTTGTTGGTGGCCGGAACAAAATTCATGAATTGAAGAAAATGATGCCAATTGTGTTTCACATTTTATCCTATTCTTCAAATTAAGTTGTCATACATTTTGTAGACACTAGATATTTCTAACCAGATGATGAATACACACTAGTCTATCTATTCACATTTATTGCTCATCTCTGCTTATCGTTTACCAATCAAACTTGACAATCTTGTGTGTTTGTGTTTGTATGATGCTATTGTGTTTTTTCACACCAAACATATGTATCGAATTGTTTTTTTTTGAATTGAAATATATTAACCAAGGTTAATATCTCAATATCCGAGTGACGCCCAATACATGTGTGTGTGTGTTCATTCGATCGACTCGGAAGTTTCTCTGTCACACACATCAATAGAAAAGGATAGATCATCAATGATGAACGATAGTGACGATGACCCGAACAACAGAATTGTTGTTACCATTGTGATTTGAATTGAACACGCACACACATCTTTTTTTTTGGTATCCAACGATCCTCGCGGATGAATGGAGCCGTAATTAATTAGTTAATTATATTATTTATATATAATGACCATCGGATCACATGTAGATGAAAATGCCGCCCAATTTTTTTCATTTCTCTTAGTCTGAAATATTCGTATCGATCGACAATGACAACTGGTTCATAAATGCATAGTGTTTAATTTCGATTCGCACGATTTATGAATGCATCTAATGCATCATCAGTTCTAGTTGTTCATTTTTAATTAAAATGGTTCAATGTTTTATTTTTTTCCCTTGGTAAGGGCAATTGATTCGGCCAAATCTTATATTCGATCATTCGAGAAAAAAAAATTCACATAGCAATTAATATTGCTATAAAATCATTATCAATTCTGTGAGAATCCAGAAAATCATTGATACCTGTATGTAATCAATGGCATACTTGAATTTATTTTTTTAAGACTCAATGTTTTTGGCTACCTGTTTACTGTGGCTTGTGCATTGTAGCCTCTGTTTATTATTATCTACAAAATTGGATAATTTTAAATCATTTCTCATGGTGAAAGTATACTTTATATCTAGTATACTTGATACATATGTGCCGGCAACAACTTGGTCATTAGCTTAACAATATTATGTTCAAAAGTTGTATAGTTGATTAGATTTGCTTCATTTATGGTCCAAAAATACCAATGATTTCTCATTGTGTGCCTCTTCATTTTTCTACGATTCACATCTGATCATCATCATCATCATTCAAGTTCAACAGTTGAGAAAACTAGGAATTGTCACACTCGTTTGAACTTTTTTTTAATAACATTTTTTCTTCTTTTTTTTAAAAAACAAATAACATGTTCATTTTCCATATTCACACTTGATGATGATGATGATGATGATGTAATAGAACTTGTCAGTGTGATAGAACTTCTTTGATGAATGTGATTGTTTGTTGATTCGAAATGAATTTATCAAAAAAAAATTTCATGGACAATGGTATGCCATTGTATGTCTTTCATTGATGACACACACACACAACGGTGTTATGGTTGAATATTCCTATCCCAAGAAAATATAAACATGAATTGGCATTTTTTTTTGTTTTGTTTCACTTTTCATTTTCTCGCCTTAAACTTATTTTTTTTTATTTGCCGTCGTTACTTTAGTTTTTCTACACTCACACAATGGATTGCTTTTCATCATTATATAATGGCATCCGTTTTCATTTGATTTAAGTAAAATGACATAAGCAAATTGTAATTGCTTGCTGTTGATAGTATGATTGGATTGATTCCAATATGTTTCACAAATAGCTTGCTGATCAAAGGTAACAAAAAAACAAAAAAAAAATTGACACGATCGATTTTTGAATTACCTGGCCGGTCGATATATATATATATGAAGTCTGTCTTTACTATTTGTACCACTACCATGGTCATGTCCGAAACGGAACAATATATACATTCATCAGCTAGTGCATCTGCTATATTTGTTACAATGCTGGCCACACACACATAAACTCTTCTTTAGTTTTTGGAGATGGTAATGCTGCTATTCCAGTCAGTTTTTTTTTTGAATCGAATCAGTCTCATTTGAAACGTTGTTCGTATCGGTTGTGTGTGTTTGTATTCTTGTTTATCTTTGTCGATTTTTGCAGTCTGGAGCAGACCATCATTTTCTTTCTCCTCCTTCATGATAATCTAATGGTCTACAAGTGTTGACAATAAATTTGACCACTTTTACGTATCCATCATTTAATAATATAATATCGAATGGCAAATCATCGATCAATTTGATTTTTTCCTGTGTATTATGATGATCATATCCTTACATCAATGATCATATAGCCATGACATCCATTATAATGTTCTGTGTTTGTGTCCATGTGCACCTTGTGTAATTTTTCCTTTTTTTTGATTAGCATACGATTCGATTTTTATCGATCAAATTCAACTAAAACGAGCGATCGATCAATACAGAATTTTGTCATCGCTCTCATTTTTTACACATTCAATTACTTTGATACATCAATACATCTATACCAAAAAAAAAACATCAACAACACAACCGCAAAAATGCTATATTCATTCAGGATTTCTATTGATCAATTGTTGATCATCATTGTCATAATAATCATGTTTGATTATATGGCCAATGGCCGTCCATTCAATGGCCATTATCATTATCATCATAATCGATTGAATAAAAGACAATCCCCCATTACAGGTAAGTTTATTGTTTTGTTTTTGTTTCAGTGTAACAGTGAACCACTTTCTATTATGTTGATCTGATTGCTTATCTTGTGTCATAAATGATATCAATTCTATTCTTAACTTTGATCGTATATTTACGATCTAATATGAATATTATCAAATTCCTAAATCGAAATAATAATAATAATAATATGCTAATTCTCTTTGGCAAATGTCTGGGAACTGGAATATAATGATGATTATTTATTTTGATATCGATATTCCTTTAAAAAAAAATTTAAATGATTACTTTTATATATTGCTTGTGTGTTGTGACCATGATAAACAAAATTTTTTTTTATGGCTTCTTGTTTATTCACATTCAAGATAATCATCAAATTAATTAATGAAATAAATTATTTTCGATCATTTTTTGATTCTTTCCATCTCATTACTTTCGTTTCACAAGAGTCGGAATGGTCAATTATGATCATCATAATGGTTGTATATATGTGTGTGTGTGTGTGTGTTTTTTAGCATTCAACGACATTTCTGTAAATTGTTCAATATGACTAAATCGATGGTGAAAATCAACTATTCATTACGCCGCATATTCAACCATCAATAAACTAAATTCAACATCTTTCAATGATCCGAATCGTAGAAGCATAGTAGATTCATTATCGTTTGACATGGTAAAAATTTGAAAAAAAAAGAAAATCGAAATCAAATATTGCCTGTTGCTTTCATCATTAAAATTATATATCTTTCATTTTGTTATCACCAAAAAACATCTCGCTCTCCATCTATTGAGCACCATAATTTATTACATAAACACACACACACACACAGAAATACCGTCCATATGGTGAACATTTTTGTGTGTGTGAATTCAACAAGTTTTTTTTTCAATTTCATTCCATTTATAATTCAAATGAATTTGAAAAAAAACTATTTGCTGCTGTTTCTGTCTGTGTGTGTGTGTGTGTGTGTTTGCCTTTATTATATATGTTTCTAATGAAAAATTCAATGACCAAAACTTTTTTTTTCAAAAAAAAAAAAAAAATTTTTTAATTATAAAATTCAAAAATATTGAATTGGAAAGGATGATATGGCCGAATTCAAATCAAAATGATACCTAGATATATCGACCACCATCACTTGATTTGTCTTAGAGGGGTCTCTGATAGGTTCACTGACTTGTCACATACACACAAGAAGAAATGATGTTTTTTTTTATTTTCATCATAACAATATGTCATTGACAGACAGACATTTATCATATGCTCTGTGTATAGTTGCCGGCCATTTTTTCAAATTCTCTCTCTCTCTTTCCTTGATATACGATGTGCCAATTCTGAATAATTGAATACTGATATATGATGATGATGGTAACTTCTCATCTAGATTTGATGTTTTGATTGACGCTCTCTTGTTGTAGTTATATATTGTAACAATAGCGATTGCTATTCCATGATAACGGATATTATATAACCGGGTATTTTTCATGTTATTTTTGTTGGTATGTGACTTTTGTCATCATCATCATCATCATCGTGTTTGGTTGACATTTGTTTCGTTTTATTTCCTTTCGAACCTTTAGTTCGATTCTATTTTATCATTATTGTTGCCCATTATATATTTCGTGTATGGTCTGAAGTTTCATTTTTTTTTCTTTCCTTCATTTTGTTCAAGTCATCATGAAGTTTTTTTTAAAGGTTTTTTTGTCGTTTTTTAATGAGCTATCTAGCGACTAAAAGTCTGTCTTTAAAGAATTGTATCGTATAACTGGTAAAAAAAACAGCTCCATGTTTGTATTGTATTGGTATGCTATTATGCGTTTATTTTTCGTATTATAAAAAAACTATATCGGATTTCATTTTCATCATTGTCGTTTGCTGTTGTTGTTGTTGTTGCATAAGGATAATGTTTTTCTTTTCTTTTTTTTCTTGAATCAAATTTTGGGTAACATGAACTCAATAACATGAAATCTATTGAACGGAAAATGTTAGATTTTCGTTCTGTGTTTATTATTCGTTAATTATCAACAACAGTATTGTGTCCACATGTTTCTCACAATTCGTTTCTGTTATTAGATTGTGATGATCGTTATTTCAAATTTAAAAAAAAAAAATTTCTAAATAATCCATAAATCGATAGTGTTTTTATTATTTTTTTTCCAACAATTCAATCTGGATTCGATGAATTGTTTTGTTTTCAGATTTGTATATATGTAATATATCAAAAAAACACACACACACACACACACAACATACAACCCAAATGACAAGAAATGAATAAATTCGGAATAAACAGACCATAGCTATGATTATTTGATGATAATGTTGATGATGACCAAATTAATTAAACTTTAATTATATACAACGATGCAGCTGAACATTGAAATCATCATTGGCCATCATTATGTGATGATCATCATCTGGCTATAGAGCTCACCATCATTGATTCGATGGTAGCCAGAACGTTGTTTAACGAAATAATAATATAAAAAAAAATAAATTGGAGCGTTCTGTTTTGTTATGTGTGTGTGTGTGTGTGTGTGTGTGTGTGTCCATACCGAATCTCAAGTCACGCTAAAACTATCAAAAAAAAAAAAAAAAAAAAAAAAATCTAATGAGCTTCAGCTGCTGTTGATGGTTTTTAGTTTTTTTTGTGGCTTGTTGTCGTATACATACACACAGAGAGAGAATTTCATTTGCTCTCTTTGTTTTCTTTCCAAAAAACAAAAAAAAAATTCATCAGTGTTTGCTAATTACATTCGCACTATACTGAAACAAAAAATGAAAAAAAAAATTCTTTATAATGAATAAATGAATGAATGAAAATGGAAAAAAAAATTCAAAGTCATAATTTTCCTTGATATCCATGTACAAAAATGGAAAAAAAATTATTTTTTAGAAAATTTTGAAATTTCAATTAACTTCTTGTAATACGCGCACCACCAGCAGGCAATCTCTATGTATTTGAAAATTTGCATTCATAAAAAAAATTGCATTTCCTTTTTAATCATTCATACATTGTCGATTTTATTTATCCGACAAGGACTTTGGATAAATGATTATAATCGATTCTTATTCTTGCACCGGTTGTCATTGAATTCAAAATTCAACACATTGTGACAGTTGTTGGAAACAAAATGAAAAAAAAATTATTATTGAAATGCGTCAATCAAATGAGATTTTATTCTTACGAGAAAAAAAAATATACACCAATCAATTGTATTGTGTAATATGTTCCTCTTTACAAGCACACAAACACACGTAAACAACAAATGTTCCCCTTTTTTTTCTTTTGCATACCTTAAACCCATCATGGTCAATATTGGACAAACAGTAGAATGGTATTTTGAAGTGGGCCAAATTTTTTTTTCGAGAACCATATGCTGCAGCCACGCAAGTACTATTTGTGTGTGGATGGTTAGCTAGCTGGTGGTGGTGATTGAACATTTGAACAACAATCCATTCATTTTATGGAATTATATATGTTTGCCCGATTATTATATCATTTACGTTTAGCTTTAATATAATCTTTACGATCTATTGCTAAATGCGATTATATTGTGAGATTTGAATTTTCTTTTTTTTCCCATTCGAAACATACACACACACACACACCGTTAAGAGTTACATTGAATTGAAATGAGTTAGACCAAAGGCTAAAGGAAGAAATTTTTTTTAATCCTCTCTTTTTACCTTAACATTCAAAAAGTGGACAACATAACAGCAACAACAACAACAAGGAATTAACCCCCACCACACACACCCCTACAAACATACTCTTAAAACGGAATCGTTCAATCATTCAATAAATATTTTTCATAGGGCCTGTCCGGATTTTTAAAAGATGGATTAATTCTTTTTCTTCTATATATGTTGTGCATATTAAGTGTTGACAATTTAAATACATACATATGGCATTAGCTGCTTGGTGCTCTTCAGCGAAAAAAAATAAAGATCTGAAAATATTCGAAAAAAAATATTCAGCAAGCAAAAATAAAACAAGAATGATTGATCTATGCGCTTGGTTGATCATTGCTCTAAATAATCATAATAATAATAACAACAACAATGACACGATAAGCTTCATATTCTATCATCTTTAGAAAAAAAAGGTAGACCAATTTTTTTCTCTCTCTCTTTCTGATCTTGAAGATCTAAAAGTTTTTTTCTTCCATTTTGGATTTTAATTGCTACCTGTCGAGAGCTTGCCATCATCATCATCATCATCATCATCATCATCATGAGCACATATAGACACTTGTTGTTGTTGTTTTCCCTCTCCCACACTTTTACCAACATTTTATACACTCACTCTTGACCATTTTCAACAAAAAAAATACATTATTTTCGGTACTGTTCAATATAAATGTTCAATATAAATGTAACTGCTCTATGTACATTCGTATGTATTCAATACGTTGATTTGATCTGACACACATATTTGACCAAATAACAACAACAAGAACAACAAGATGAAAACTTGTATTATGATGATTTCTTTATGTCTGTCTGATCTATGTATGCATTTAGTTCAATGTCTATTTGAATCAATTCATAAATGTATGGGTCGTAGATGATGATGATGATGATGACGATGATAATGATGATCCATTTTGGATTGACTTTTCTTCTTTAGTTTTTGTTGCTGTTGATGGCCCAATGAACAGGTCGAAATGAATTTTGAAGAATTGAAACATACAATTTACTCTCTTTTTTGGCACTGACTGACTGACTGACTAGCTACGGCTGTTTACAGATTGTTGTAGCCATTTATTTGTACAACTAATGTCTCCTTTTTTTCTTGGCAAAAAAAAAAGAAATTGTTCATATAACGATCATCACCATCATCATTCGAGCGGCAACAGATTTTTTCATTTTGCTAGCCAACCCCCCAAAAAAGAAAGAAAACTGACCTGAAAATGATGAAAAAAGACAACAACCGATTCTCAACGCCTACTAATTAAATTAGATTTTTTGGTTGTTTGTTGTTTCTTTTTTTCATTTGATTGTCTGA